TCACAATCAGCCTCTCATTTATGTCACATAATAGAATGTTCACTTTGTCTGGTTTTGTTGCAGTCTGCCCCATATATTCCGGGAAGAGAACAAGATTTTCGTTTAATACGTAACCTATCATAATACATACCTTACTTTTTTGTCATGTCGTCACCTTTCAACTCGTTGCCTTTTTTGTGTAGCATTAAAATGTTTTTTCTTGACCAATCAAAGTTTAATCAATAAAAATGTCTCAGATTTATCCGACATTGTTACACATCAACATCGAATATTTTCGCCGTGTAACATGTGTGATTATTCAGAAAAGCCAAGATTGCCAAGACACTTATGTCAGATTCGATAACCAAGAATGCATATGGGGCATTAAGTTGAATACCGTAGTATTGGATGCACATACTGGAAGATAAAAAGATGCCAGACTCGAAGATTTTGCCAAAAAAAAATGTTGCTAACGTATTTTGAAGATCTATCCCAATCTTTCAACCGACTCCTTGACGATCTGGACGATTATAATGTCATAATAGAAGTGGGTACTGGCAGTGCATTAAGACGGTTTGCTGCACACTCGGTAATACTCCGTGCGAGGTCGTCATATTTTAAAACAGCTTTGTCGTCGAGGTGGGCAAAAAAACAGGGTGGATATTACATCTTTAGTAAGCCAAACGTTAATCCGGATGTATTTAGATTGATTTTAAGGTAAATATGAAACTGGAAAGAGGCTGATTAAAAATTGACAATTGTGTTTTTATTTCTTTATGGCTGACTCTCTCGCGCGTCGTGATTTTCTTACCTATGCTTACAGATACATCTACACCGGTACTCTTTCTCTCGGCCGACAACAATTCACAACCCTCCTTTCCCTTATTGTTTCTCTCGACGAATTACTCTTCTTTGCACCACTCCGTGACGTGCAAACCTACTTGACCGATCATCACTCTGACGCTCTTCTCAGGCATGCTGTATCGATTCTGTCACTCTCTGCACGCACAAATTCGTTCTCCATTCTTCGTGAACACATATATACTTCCGTTGTCGCGAACCCGTCAATTTTACTTGATAGTGAAGACTTGGGAGATTTGGAAGAGGAAATATTGATGGACGTGATAAAGAGGAATGATTTAAAAGTGGAAAGGAAAAAGATTTGGGAATGGGTTATAACATGGGCAAGGAAGAATGGTAGCAGAAGAGAGAATGAAGCTGACACAGTGGAAAGAGATGTTATGGTGGAGGCAGAGAATCAAGAGAAAGAATGTGCAAGCGAACGTTTAAACGAACTTCAAAAGCGTGTGTTACCTAGATGCAATTCAGATAATGAAACAATATTCAAGTCTGGATTTAAAGGTAATCGCAAAAACCTTGGGAAGGAGATTTCACACGATTCGCGATTGTGGAGTGATGAGGAGCTCGAACGGATGAAGGATATAGTAAAGCCGTTTTTGGAATTTATTAGATTTGAGGAGGTGTGTATGAACGACAAAGACGAGAAATCGGTTTAACCTGCTGTTAAAAATCTTTCTTTAACGTTAAACTCACACTGCCACTCCCCCTCCCCTTATTCAGATGACCTCACAGGAATACGAATTGCACGTTCGAATACCGTACAAGGAATTAATCCCACCGGATATGGATGAAATTTTACTTTCTTATTTTTTAAGTCTTTACCCGTCGATTCCCAAGGTTCCGCAATTATACAATTCGCAGACTCAATTTCCTTCACGATATCAACCACCGGTGAGTGGGTCAATGTCAAACCCATCGAGAATCCTTACGAGGGCACAATTGCAACAAGTGATATCGTGGATCCAGCATACATCTGATGATTCAATGGCAGGACTATATCCAAAAGGAGTGCAATTGTTGTTACGTGCAAGCGAAGACGGGTTCGATCCAAGCACCTTTCAAACTCTATGTGGGACCCATTCCGGAACCATCACTGTATTTACAGTATTAGGATCACAGACTATACTTGGTGGATACAATCCTCTCCCATGGGCGTCTCGTTCGAATAATGGAAGACCATACTATAAATCAACTGCCAACGCATTTGTATTCTCGTTCTCTGCTGCCCGGAATGCGTGTATAAGTATAGTGGAGAACGTAAATAAGGCTGTTTGTTTTAATCATGGCGGGCCGTGGTTTGGGAGAGGTGACCTGTGCATGAGCAATAATAAGACGGGCGTTTGTTATCAAAGGGATTATACAGAGCCGTTACAATATCAAGGGGATTTTGTAGCTGATGAAGTTGAGACGTTTTCGGTGACTTGGGCTGATATAAGAATGGAAGCGAGGCAAAGTGAGAATATGTGTTTTAGAGTGAGTGTTGATGAGTTGTTTGGTACCGAGTTGATGTGAGTTAATATAATAGCATATAATAATAATGATGGGTGGTTAAAAGTATTTTAATTCACGTGTAAATTTGATCATTAGATTGTACATTAGTTAATAAAAAGTACGCAACACTGCATTTTAATTGTTTATCGCTCTTTGAACTTGAGTGATGTACTTACTGTTAGTTAGCACGATAGCAAGTCGACAAGTCACAAACTATCTGAAGATTGTCTTACCGCATCATTAGTAAGCGTTTATCAATCTTACAGTAAATAACTTCGTAATTCTTTATCTGCAAGTCCAACAAAGTGAGCGTAATACAGGACATTCAGGTAGAAACTTTTGTTTTTCAGATTTCAGTCGTTCGCTTATATACAATAATTGCCTCGAAAAGAAAAGGATTAATACCGCCAAAACATCTTATAGTCGACTGCCGACAATTCTTCATCGGTCGAATTAACATAAAGGTCATATTAACGTTAATATTAATATGTACCGATAACAGTAATCTGTGTAACATACTTTGACTTAACGTCGAGTGCAACAATAATGGCCAACAAGCATGACGTTGATGACCTCTGACAAGGAATGGCTAAAGAAAAGTGTTGAAAATGAAGACATTCCGTTTTATCCGTATAGTGACCTAACCGATCAAGTCTACGTCGGTCATGGTGCATTCGGTGTAGTTTTCAAAGCAATAGTGGCAACATCGGGTATCACAGTTGCCTACAAGAGAATCAATCATTGGAATGAAGACGAGTTCTTTAAATGTTTGGTGAAAGAGGTCTGTGAATATGCTCAAACCATTGTTAACGTTGTGAATGTAGCTTATATTTGCTGTATGTCTAGATTAGGATCCACCGTAAAGTAGACGATCATCCAAACATAGTTCGATTCCTTGGCGTTAGCAAAGGTATTCAGCGAAAAGATTTGGTTAATAGAAAATGGGCACGAATATAATGCATTTTAAATTATTTAAATAGATATCAAAGAAAAATACTTTATGGTCTTCGATTATGCTGATAACGGTTCGTTACGAGAGTACCTATCGACACCAGCTATTACACTAGGTTGGCCTGCCAAGTGTAAGCTTGGATTGGATATCATCAACGGATTGAGATATATTCACGAAGTAGACATCGTGCATAAAGATTTAGTAAGCGCACGATTATAAAATTCTCATTTGTTATTACAGCGTCATAGAATTAATTCATTTATCGATCTTCTATTGCTCTACTGTCTTACTACATAGTCATCGGGTAATGTATTAATTCATGGTGGCACAGCTAAAATCGCGGACTTTGGAACATCAGATGAAATTCTGCAACAAAAGAGTCGCTCAGATCACAGAGGAACTTGGGCATACCTTGACCCTATGTGCTTTGACCTTGAAAACCATAGACCACGTGGTAAAGAATCTGATATTTTTAGCTTTGGGATAATTCTATGGGAAATATCCAGCGGAGAATTTCCATGTAATGGCTTCGAGACTTTTTTTGAAATTCAGTTGTACAGGCTAAGTGGTGGTCGTCATAATGTAGTTCCAGACACACCAGAGGAATATAAAAAATTATACTCAGAGTGCTGGGATGGCGATCCTAAGAAACGACCAACTAGTGAAAAAAGCTATCATATATTGCAAAGTATATGGGCAGAAGTGAATGGGTTTCCAAAACAAGATTCTAATGAATATAAACAAGATCACTCTTTTTCTAATGATCTGTTAATACTGTATCATGACTTACAACTTAGTGAGACATCTGAAGAACAAATTGCTGTTGCAATCAGGGATTGGCTAACAAAAATTTATGAGAAACAAGAAAATCCACTGACTATATTGGAATCTCATCCTGATTGTGGACAATGTTCCTGGCTGATTGGATTTTTTTATGCATATGGAATAGGAATTGATAGGGATCTTGACCAGGCAGTTCAATGGTATCAAAAGTCAACAGAGGCAGGCAATTTTATAGCTCAATGTTGTCTTGGTGTCTGTTATAAGCATGGGATAGGAGTAAAAGAGAATAGTCAAAAGGCAGTTGATTTATTTGAGAAAGCTGCTGAACAAGGATATGCCAGAGCACAAAATTATCTTGGGATTTTTTATGAATATGGAACAGGAGTAGATAGGAATGTTCAGAAAGCTGTTGAACTGTATAAGAAAGCTGCTGGGCAAGGATATGCTGGAGCATACAATAACCTTGCTTTTTGTTATGAGAATGGAACTGGGGTAGAAAAAGATGAACAAAAAGCAGTTGAATATTATAAAAAAGCAGCTGAACAAGGAAATGCCAATGCACAATATAACCTTGCTTTATGTTATGAAAATGAAACTGGAGTAGAAAAAGATGAACAAAAAGCAGTTGAATGGTATACAAAAGCAGCTGAACAAGGAAATGTTGATGCACAATTTAATCTTGCTAATTGGTATTATAGTGGAACTGGAGTAGAAAAAGATGAACAAAAAGCAATTGAATGGTATAAAATATCAGCTGAACAAGAGAATGCCAATGCTCAATTTAATCTTGCAGTATGTTATCACTTGGGAACTGGAGTGGAAAAAGATGAACAAAAAGCAGTTGAATGGTATAAAAAAGCAGCTGAACAAGGACATGTTGATGCACAATTTAATCTTGCTAATTGGTATTATAATGGAACTGGACTAGAAAAAGATGAACAAAAAGCAGTTGAATGGTATAAAATAGCAGCTGAACAAGAAAATGCCAATGCTCAATTTAATCTTGCAGTATGTTATCACTTGGGAACTGGAGTGGAAAAAGATGATCAAAAAGCAGTTAAATGGTATAGACATGCAGCTAAACAAGGAGACATTGATGCACAATTTAATCTTGCTCTATGTTATGCCAATGGAACTGGAGTGGAAAAAGATGAACAAAAAGCAGTTGAATGGTATAAAATAGCAGCTGAACAAGAAAATTCCAGTGCTCAATTTAATCTTGCAGTATGTTATGAAAATGGAACTGGAATAGGAAAAGATGAACAAAAAGCAGTTAAATGGTATAGACATGCAGCTAAACAAGGAGACATTGATGCACAATTTAATCTTGCTCTATGTTATGCCAATGGAACTGGAGTGGAAAAAGATAAACAAAAAGCAGTGGAATGGTATAAAATAGCAGCTGAACAAGAAAATGCCAGTGCTCAATTTAATCTTGCAATATGTTATCAATTGGGAACTGGAGTAGAAAAAGATGAACAAATAGCAGTTGAATGGTATAAGAAAGCAGCTGAGCAAGGACACACCAGTGCACAAAATAATCTTGTTTTATGTCATGTCAATGGAACTGGAGCAGAAAAAGATGAACAAAAAGCAGCCAAATGGTATAAACATGCAGCTAAACAAGGAGACATTAATGCACAATTTAATCTTGCTCTATGTTATGCCAATGGAACTGGAGTAGAAAAAGATGAACATAAAGCAGTTGAATGGTATAAAAAAGCAGCTGAACAAGGACAAACTAATGCACAAAATAATCTTGCTGTATGTTACCAAAATGGAGCTGGAGTAGAAAAAGATGAACAAAAAGCAGCTGAATGGTATAAAAAAGCAGCTGAACAAGGTGATGTCAGTGCTCAATTCAATCTTGCTGTATGTTACCAAAATGGAGCTGGAGTAGAAAAAGATGAACATAAAGCAGTTGAATGGTATAAAAAAGCAGCTGAACAAGGAGATGCCAGTGCTCAATACAATCTTGCTACATATTATGAAAATGGAATGGGAGTAGAAAAGGATGAACAAAAAGCAGTTGAATTGTATAAAAAAGCAGCTAAGCAAGGATATGCTAGAGCACAAACCAATCTTGGCATTAGTGTGTGTTATGAAAATGGAATTGGATTAGAAAAAGATGAACAAAAAGCAGTTGAATGGTATAAGCAAGCAGCAGAGCAAGGATATGCCAGTGCTCAATATAATCTTGCTGTATCTTATGCTAATGGAATTGGAGTAGAAAAAGATGAACAAAAAGCAGTTGAATGGTATAAAAAAGCAGCTGAACAGGGAGATACCATTGCACAAAATACTCTTGCTCAGTGTTATGATAATGGAACTGGAGTAGAAAAAGATGAACAAAAAGCTGCTGAATTGTATAAAAAAGCTGCTGAACAAGGATATGCCAGGGCACAAAATAATCTTGCTTTATGTTATCAAAATGGAGCTGGAGTAGAAAAAGATGAACAAAAAGCAGTTGAATGGTATAAAAAAGCAGTTGAACAAGGAGATGTCAGTGCTCAATATAATCTTGCTACATATTATGAAAGTGGAATGGGAGTAGAAACAGACATTCAAAAGGCACTTGAATTATATGAAAAAGCAGCTGAACAGGGATACAGTAAAGCACGAAATAAGGTGTATACTTTTTATGAAAATGGGTTAGAAGTAAAGAGAAAAATAAGGGAGAAGATTGAATTATATAAGAAGTGGTAAGAATTATGTTTAGTATTAGTACAAAGCATTTGACACAAATTTACAAAGACTGTAAATTAGATAATAAATTGCATTTGTCAAATACAAGTTATGAAATTTTTGTGCTAACATTAAGAAGAATAATCTTAGAAAGGTTTAGTTTATCTATATTGAATATTAAATAGCAAGTTTGTTAAACAATTTTATAATAATAAAGATGTGTCAGTTAGGTTCTATATGGCATACTAGCATTACGTTTGGTCGCGTGGGAGAGTGTATGGTGTTGACTAGGAGGTGCTTTAGCAGTCCTGCTTGCATGTCTCGTCAATTTAAGATGTAGCTCATTCTTAAAGGAGGCGGCCTTTTATACCTCCGATTGTTAAGGCGTAAACTCACTTGTATGTTGTGTTAAACCTTTTGATAAATGAAACTGTCGAACCAATAATAGCAGAAGAGCAATCAATCGTTGGCATTGGTATTTAGCTATTTTCGAAGGGCACTGTTGTTTTCCCTATCCTTAGTTAAATACAAACGCAGTGTAAATAGCCGATTATGCTATTTACTACAGAATTATTTGATTGGTCAAAAATTCACTCCCATG